GGCAGGCGTGAAGTGCGCGGTTATATCTAGTTAAATCTAAACGTATGTTATAGCAGGGATAAGCAACCTCTGCTCTGAGAGGAAGACGTGCTCCCGACCTCTATTAGTACATAACAAAGGGTAGACGAAAGCTTATTGTGTCGGGTGATGGGCCTTATGACCTAAGTCGTAAAGGGCCTTCTCCTCGGCTGAAATCAACCAAAGTGGGGGTAACACGTAAGAACAGGAGAAGAGGAGAAATATCGCTGAAGAAAAAGAAAAGCGGGAAAATGAGTCAAAAATGGAAAATGTGAAATTTTCTTCACCATGACATTTTTATTAATTTTCAAAGCAGACGTTACAAATGAAATGTAAAAACCGGCTGTTTAATTTCAGAGGCAAGGAACAAATTTCACAATGGCATGTTCCAGTGGTGCCGCAATTATTTATTCAAGAAATGACATTGATTGCAGTAAAAATGTTAATTGAAGAAAATGAAAAAAAAATATTATTATTAAAAAATATTCCTTTTTTATATTCAGAATCAACATCAGCCGGTCAAAACTGCAATGTTTGGTATTTTTTCCTTGACATATTTTTCGGTAAGGTCGATATTGGACCAAAAGTTTAAAAAGCAAGCTGAAAGATGTCATCAATTCGGGAAGCTGAATTTGACGAGTACTTTCATGTTTATCTGAATGACCAATAGTTTTCTTCATATTCAGAAAATTTTTTTTCCATGTGTGGATTTTTTAATTTATATTAATAGTGGCGGCCATTTTCCCCCTTTTTACCATTTGACTGAGACGTCAGGGGACGCTCCCCAATACGGTGACTGTGAGGCCCCCCCATTACTGCCCCCACTATGACCGTACTAGGAACCTTATAATTGGCATGGTTATAAACTTTATTGGATTCCTAACTCGAGTTTATGACTCTGCTCCGAGCTACCTGAAGGTTGCCCATTCCTCAGCTATTGACCCGAGCGGTTGGGTTCGATGATAGGGATGGGTCACTCGTAGATAATTAGAAATGAATATCTCTCAGAGAGATTCAACTTTTTTAGCGATTAAACGATTTATTAAATAAATAAAGTCTTCGACTAATGCCGTAGATATCAGGTAATATGCGTTACAAAAAAGTGACTTAACGAATCGTCGGATTACTAATTGTCTGTGTCTGACAACCTGACTAACTGACCCAGTGGCAACGAATTCACGAGCTTATATTTCATCGTGGATTCGATTGCAACTAGTGTTCTGTCTTTGTCTTACACCTGGAGAGACATCGGGTGACGTCCCAGGCGCGCGTAAAGGCCATAGCCGTTGATGGGGCGAACTGCTCACACTGCACCCCAGTGATCCACATTATGACAAATATATGTGGACTTATTCCACAAATATTAGGGTTAGTTTATATTTCAACATTGTCTGATTCAACACTACATGTTTTGCATAATATGTGCCACTTTGCGTGTCCTCATATTATTTAGATCAATGAGAAATTACCTAATACTATGTCTTAATTAATTGTCTTTCTGGGGCATAACACGTGAGCGGTGCAGTTTCCAGTCGTTATTATGTTGCTTGTGTCTATTAAGTCGGCAGGTCAAATGTCATTCTGAGCGTAGGAGGAATGTAGAAGCTCCTTGATACTGACCCAAATCCTAAGATAGCCAATAACAGGCAAATGCGCATTTCTTACGGGGACTAGGTCACTAGGCAAGTCGAAATATCGGGTAAAAGGTGAACCGTTCAGAGGAGTTGACCGTAACTAGTCACGACAGGTAGTATCCGGAGGACAAAGGATCTTATAAATCTCATTTAGTGGGGGCCGATTGCGTGGGACTAAGTACTGAAGTACACAATGGTTATAATATGAGGCATTAGCACACAAAGAGAAAGATAGCCTTACGTTTCCCTTAAAATAGAATTAAAGTTTTTATTACACTTCACTTGGTATACAGAATAGAAGAAAATCCAAGATAAAAAAACCAGAGGTAGATAGGAAAAAGTGTAGGAGGGAATAGTGTAAAAGTTGTTGGTGTGTTTTCTGACTTACGGTTAATGAAATAAACGGCAACAGGGAACGGGTGATCTCTTCGTATTTCCCCTTCGCAGCGGATTCCAGAGAAACTCCAAAAGTATGCTAGATTCTCTAGCAGTGATGGAGTCGAAAACTGCTCAAACACGCTTCTCTAGCGCTGGTGGTGATGATGAGGTGACCCCGGAGGCGTTGGTGGTGTCGATGGACCTGAGTTGTTCACTCAGGCAGTACTCGGTTGTCCCCTAGCTTTAGTGTTGCTAGGTTTGAAGAAGTCCCGGAGCTGGACACTCGGGGTAGACTCAGTTGTACGCTGAGTAATTCACCAGGTCGGTGCAGGTTTGCAGAAATGCGATCGATCTGACGCAGTGTAGAAAATTGTGTTGTCAACTTAATGTAGATGAAAGTGGGCGATGCTGCGGAGCTGTTTCCCAACAGACGGATCTTGAAGGGTCAGCTTTATTAATGAGCAGGGCCCCTCCTTAATAACCAAGAGTTGAAATTTTACTTTGGACTCGTTGGTAGTGATTAAAGCCGCGCACTCGATCTGGGGTTGCGAGAAGAGTCGAGTTGTACGCTTGGACTGTTCCCCAGTAGTGACGTCAGAGGATGGTAGAGTTGCTCTTTTGAAGACTGGGCCTCGAATGTTGAACTGGATGACGAGCAGGATACCACTTGAAGATCACGAGTCGAAGATTTAATTTAGACTGACTTTATTTGGCGAAAAACCGCCCTTTATATACTGTTCGGGCGTGATTCCTCTACAGCCGTTGGCATGTTGTGATTTCGTCCTCTAACGTTTTTTGAGGTATGGTGGGAGGACTCTTCATGTGATTAACAATGTATTCAAAAGGGATGTTTCTGGGCAATGTACCCTCACCCTGATGCTACCCCCCATTTCCCCAGGTGCGGGAGAAGTTTTTGAGAGAAAGAGGGGACGAGCGCGCATTGGCCTCTCTCTAATTAATGTTCTTCTTCTAATATCAAACGTGGCATGTTTACGCGTCTTTTTGACTTTCATGGCCCATAAATTTGACACCTCCTTTGACGATGGATAACTATTGTTCATTAGAAGCCTCGCGTGTAAAATGAAGTGGACCCTTTGAGGCTGGAGATGTCCCCTTGTTTGGACAACAAGAAATCATCTGGTGAATTGTGCCAATCCCTGGGAGCCACCTCATAACTTTTGTTAGGTATGGGGTGCAGGTGACGTCATGGTCCCGGCCAACCCCCTGTAACCAATGGGGGAGGCACTCGGAGCAGATGTACCCCCTATTGGCCTGCCTTTTCCTTTGTCGATATCGGCAAACCCGTGGCTGAGGTGGTCCATCTCTGAATTGCCGACATTTTTAATTCTTTGGGGCAGCTCCCATGTGCGATTACCATTGGAGGGTTGTTTATGTTATTTAAAATTCAATGGAGTGAAAAGGGTCTCCTTAGCTGTGCCTTTCAGCAATTGTGTGGCTTCTTTTTGATGATTCGTGGTTTCCAGGTGTTGTCGCCTTGATGGTCACTCCTTGACGCTTTTCAGGTCATAATGACGGCCACTTGAATACCTGCTAGGTGGTCTCTTTTATTGTGATCACTTCGCATAATCGGCATTTAGGCTGGTCATATCGATATTCCTCGCTATTGCATGGGATGATTTTTGTGGTTAGACCAAATTTTCCGAATATTTATAAAATAAATCTTAACCGTACTGACTGCGGCGTCCGCAACACATTATTCTGGCCCCGGCGTTGCTCTTATTATGAGTTTCTCCGTTGTTTCTAATGTGTTGCATGTGTCCTAGTTATGTCTACTAACAACTTCACCAAGCTGCATTTATTTGAAAACTTGGTTACTCATCACGTATCTATTGATTTCTTCCAGCTCCATAGAATGTTGTTCTTTGCCAAAGGAATGCTTAGTGGAACAGCATCATATACGGTCTTTTTTACTATCATTCGAGCATACCATGCACGGTACCATCGATACCACCAGCACCCTCACATAATGGAAGTGCTTACCACAAGGATTTCTCGTTCCTACCCCCCCACAATGATGTCCCAATCACAAACATTAAATAACTGAAATCGAAGTATTGGCCTTTTTGCTCAGATGAAGAAGAAGAAAAAGAAAAAAATAGTAAATTTGTCCACCAAATACCTTTAGGAGCTGAAAAGTTTGGCACATGTCTAAAGAGCACATACCGATGAGTCTTTGAGCATAGCAACGGGACGTAAGTGCCCAATTTCAGGAATAAAGTGTATTCATGATTGGTCGTTTCTCGTATGAACGGTAGGTTTGATGGGTGTGAGGTATGAATCGATTGGATTGGCCATTAAATTCTTTCTTCAAAAAATTGTCTTTTATGCGACTGGCACTTTAGTCCCATTCTCTCTCACTCTCTCACAATATGCCAAAAAACCGTGTGATATTTTAGCATTCCTTGATTAAACATTATCAACAATAGTAGAGTGAGAATTGCCTGCAACTTTAGCCAGTATCTTCCTATTCTTAGTAACTTTTGCTCGAGACTTTTTAAAAGTATTTTACCTTTGAAATCAGACTTTCGTATGTACCACTTCACTAAGTATTATTTTATTTTGTTTTCTACTCCATTTTGACGCATCTGGAGCTTTCTCTCACCTCTCTACGAAGACAATGCGTCGGATTTACGTGCTTCTTTTGGACGTTATTATTATTAGTAGTTATTCTAAGTTTTATAATATTATTATTGCCATCATTGATATTATTTTTGTGTCTATGTGCGACAAACGCCTTTCATTAACATAACCTGTAACATGGCCAATTTTTCCTAACTGAGAAATCGAATAGTATCCGCCATTATCCCCTCGACCAGCAAAAAAAATCGTATGGGCGCCAGACACTCTTGGAGCGGAAGTAACGAACCCCAGTCGAAAACGAAACGGAACAGTTGATGCTCGAAAACGAATCTGAAAATGTAAATTGAAATTAATTGGGTCGGAAGGAAGATGGTAATTGCCTGCGCCGCTCAGGACGAGGGTGTGGGGAGAGAGGTCGAGGTGGAAACTAGGTTCAGGGCATCGGGAAACTTAAAGGATAAGAAGAAGAAAAGGAAAGAAGTCGGACCGTTAGGTATTAGGTTCAAAACACAAGAAACTAGGAAATAGAAGAAAACAGAACACTACAAAAAAGATATCCGTGGTGAACCGGCAAAAAAAAGAAGTTACCGGACAGATGCTCACATTAAATGCGCATGAGAAATGAGAGCAGTATTCCGAGACATTGTAGAGAAAGGGAAGAAATAATCAAACATTACATAACGAAAGTTCCGAGTGGTGCATGGCAGCGAAAATACCGTTGAGGGTTTCCCGGTGGCAGGGCGTGCAAAACCGCACTAATACAACGAAAAGAAAAAGCGGAAAATAACGTGTTTTCATGATCAGGCTCGATACAAACAAAAACCATGCAACCCGCCCAGAGAGTGACAAGTACTTGTGAAAATATTAACGACACTACATGGATGGAACCGATAGTAACGATAGGAGAGGCACATTTTTAGGTGGGGTGCAATCGTATGGTCATCTGGCAAAGAAACAAAGGAAAATGGAATATAAAAAAAACGACAAGTCGTAAGATAACTCACAGATAGATCATTCTCCAGCCCGAGAACTACGAGAGGCAAAACCTGTGGAAATGTGCCCTGCATGGCGCTCTATACGCCTCTACTGTAAATTTCACGAATTTTGGCGTGTTCCAGGATCGCCACTTTAATCCTCGAAAATCATGGCAATGGGAACAACGGTGTTTCCCGTGAAAAATCCGCCATTGCGTGGCATGACGTATTATGCAACGGAAAAAAAAGAAGACACGGCAGGCTATTAGAAGCTATTCAATTCACTTAGCTCACCCACACAGAGCATTCTATACCGCGTTTAACACCGATAATTTGAGCATCGGACGAGAGTTAAAAAAAAAAAACAAAACATCCCAGCATAATTTAACCCACGAAACCCACCGCGAGAAAAGTCAGTATCCCGGTTCTTTTGGCTCTCTATCCTCCCAAAATCCTGCCGAAAATCCTCGCGACAATGTCTGGCGTGGTCGGGGATGTCCTCATGGCAATTGGAGACGCTATAAATGAATGCGATACCTAGTGGACATAACCCACACTGAAAAAAATGGCTGTTCGATGGTATCTGACGCGCGCTCCATTTGTTTAGTTGCTTTGATCAGTTGCTCCGAAAAATGGAGTACTCATTGGAAAGTAATTCGGTACAACGCAAAGTGAAAATATTCCAGAAGAAATGTTGTGCCAGAGGATATTTCAGTACATCAGTGAATCATCCAGAATTGAGTTTTCACTGAATTCCATAACCAAATCGAAAATATTCACTCACAGAACCGAATGACCTCAAAAGTGCAATCGAAATTGATGTACGAGAAACTTGGATTAAATTATTGAAACCGGAGAAAATTGTGAAAAATTCCCGAGTGTGTAGCTTACATTTCTCACTCAATGATTTTACGTTCCCCGGTGAATTTTTTGTCTCAAGAGGTCAAACAGATGCACTTTGACTTGTCAGTCAGCAGTGACTATTTTCATTGCAATTTTTCAGAGTTCACTATGGAGTGTGGAATGTCCCGACGGAGATTGAAAGAATATGCTGTCCCACTCAACATTTACCAGCATGTGATGCCCAGGATCAGCAAAATCAGGAGAACTTGAAAGAGGCGTACACATCACCCGCTCTAAGACAGGGTATGAGCCGTGCTCATAATAATTGAACACATTTATGTTTGTGCACAGATATAAAAATCAATTGAAATATGCACATTTGATTTTTAAACGTGCACATCCGATTTGTGCACAAGGTTACGCGCTTCTATGTCTTACACAGTTTTATTTTTCTGCGTGCACATATGATAAGATGTGTACTACAAAATGTACACTCGAATTAAAAATTAATGTATTTCATAAAAATCGTACACATCGAAGTAATTTAATATAAAAAGTTATGCACATAATTTTTATTGCACAACGAAAACACATTTTATTTGTACACGTATAAGGCTTTACCGAGCACAAAAAGAATACGCGTTGTAGATTATGTGCATGTAATTAGTCGTGCACATAAACTTCACCAGACGCGCAAATTCGAATTCCCGTGTTTTGTCTTATTTGATTGATCTGTAATTTTCATCAAAGTGACAGTTTTCAATCGTTAAATAAATTTGCTGAAACTGGTAAGTAAATAATGAAATTGTTATGTTTTTAAATTCATATATTTAGTGCTTTAGTCTATAAAAAATATTGTCAATATTTTCTAGGCCGCGGATCCATTTCGCAAGGGATAAATAGGAAATATTTGAAAGGCTGTGTAGATATTTTTTTAAGCGCCGCAGTAAGTACTTTAAATTGTCTTTATATGTCCGAGTTAAAAATTAAATATTTAAAACATCGCGAAAGTTCGTAAATCAATTTAATTAATTGATAACTATTGGATTATGGAAAGGAATTAGTGAATAATAATAAAAACCAATTAGGCTTAGATTTAAACTTTCTCTAGTTTTCACGCTCTGACCCCATTTTACAAAAGGCCCTTGTTCATTCATCTCTTTCTGTTTTTGTTTATATAAACTGTTCTCCTTATCCTGATGCTGTTCTGAGAAAAATTATAACATAATAATATGAGCCAAAACAGCTATGGGCTAACTATTAATTTTTGTATACCCATACCAAGTGTTCTCAATAATAACCAATTTGGTGCGACCTACGGTTTCAATGTTCGAATGCCAAATCACGATAAAGCGATATCTGATGCCAAGACTTTCCTAGCCTTCCAGCCAAATACTCAGGAATGTACCTTTACTACCCATAGCATTGATCATTTGCTTTTGGATCCCCTGACAAATCCTTTGACTTCCTATTTCCAGGAAAATCATCTGTCAAGTCACCAGGTACTGATGACAGTGAGGATGAGGTCCCAGAGAGAGAAGACGTTTACCTTGCACCGGTTATTCCGCTTCGTGAGAAGATCGAAGTAAAAACTGTTGAGGAGAACGAGGAAATTTTGTACACACATCGTGCTAAATTATTCAGATTCGATGGTAACTCGAAGGAGGGGAAAGGGCGAGGACTCGGAGAGTAAATAAATTGAGACTTGTGATGAGAGGAGAGAAGACACTCAAGTTGTGCCTGAATCACCTGGTGCCAGATGATATGGAGCTGACAGCCAAGGACGATAAAAGCTGCGTGTGGAATGCTGCTGACTACAGTGATAATAAGATCGAGTATGTCCAGCTTGCCTGCAGATTCAAGACGCCAGATATTGCTGAGCAATTTAAAATTTCTGTGGAGGAAGCCATTGTCTATGATTCTGGATCAAAGGAGGAGATCCAGAGGACCTCCAAGTCATGCAGTGTCGGCTCAGGACAGGATATTCAGGTGGTTTAGAAGCTCAACGTAACTGATGAGGAGAAGGACGCAGCTCTCAAGCTCAAGTTGCCTGAGAATTTCTACGCTTACAAGCAGAAGAGCGACTGTCTTGGCTGTCTTGGATGCCAAGAGCCCGATATACCCCTCTTCGACGTACAGAAGCCAGAAGGATCCAGTGAAAATGGACAGCGTGGATGCTACTTTTCGATAAAATACAACGAGAATTCAATAAAAACGCATGAAAAAATGATGTGGGATTGATTATTTGATGCATCTGAAAATGTTTAGTGAATTATTTTCGGATAATTATGCAAAATTAATAATAGATCTATTATTAATTATTATAGATCATAATTATCCGAAAATAATTCACTAAACATTTTCAGATGCATCAAATAATCCATCCCACATCATTTTTTCATCCTTTTTTATTGAATTCTCGTTATATTTTATCAAAAAATAGCATCCAGGTAACATCCACACTATATCCACGCTGTAGTGTGGATGTTGCGTGGATGCTATTTTTCGACAAAATATAACGAGAATGCTGATGAGAGTGCTACAGACAACTTGTCCAGGCATAGTCTCGAATATAATCCAGACTACAGCGTGGATATAGTGTGCATGTTGCGTGGATGCTATTTTTCGATAAAATAATTAATAATAAAATTATGTGGGATGGATTATTTGATGCATCTGACAATGTTCAGTGAATTATTTTCGGATAATTATGCAAAATTAATAATAGATCTATAATAATTAATAATTAATAATAATAATTAAAATTAATACTAGATCTATTATTAATTTTGCATAATTAGCCGAAAAAAATTCACTAAACATTTTCAGATGCATCAAATAATCGATCCCACATCATTTTTTCATCCGTTTTTTTTTTAATTCTCGTTATATTTTATTGAAAAATAGCACCCACGCAACATACACACTATATCCACGCTGTAGTGTGGATTATCTTCGAGACTATGTCTGGACAAGTTGTTTGCAGCACTCTCATCAGCATGGAGACCGAGGTTAGGATACAGGGGGACAGCTGCACGTGGACTGCTATTGATAATGTATTCGAGCTACCCACCAGAAAAATGCATCGCATTGCGGACAAAGTGATGCTGGCTGAATTTTTTGCAATTCCAGCATGCACTTACAGCATTTGCGGGAGGGAAATGTTCTTGGCTTTCCCACCATGCTGTGACGTCGCACCTTCGCGAATTGAGTGCACATTGAGCCACATTGAGCTACACATGCCGAACAATAAATTCGCCCGCCGAAAACACAATAAGTAAGGCGTTGACAGTAAAAATGCCCGATTGTCTTGAGGCACCAAGCCATTTTCGTAATTTCCTCGTTTACTGCGTTGTATTCACGTAGTGGGAGGGAAATGTGACTGTCAATTATTTTTGTGAATAAACTCACTAGAATAATTGACAGTCACAATTCCCTCCCATGCGTTAATAAACGCATAAACGAGGACATTAGGAAAATGGCTTCGTGCCTCAAGACAATCGGGCATTTTTACTGTCAACGCCTTACTTATTATGTTTTCGGCGGGCTCATTTATTGTGCAGGATGTGCAATTGAATGTGGCTCAATGTGCACCAAATTCGCGAAGGTGCGACACCATAGCATGGTGGGGAAGCCCAGACAATTTCCCTTCCGTAAGTGCTGCAAGTGCATGCTGGAACTCCAAAAAATTAGGCCAGCATTACTTTGTCCACACTGTGATGCATTTTTTGAGGAGAATTTGGAAAGAATGCAGAATGAGGATGGCTGCGTCGCTGTGGAATGATGTAAGTATGGAATTTTTATTACCTGATACTTTTTTTCATTGGTGTTTTTTTTTCTGTGTTACAAATAAAATTTTTTCTTTAATTACAGCTCCATTATGTGCAGATCGTGATGGCATTTCAAATTATATTTTGTTTTTAATTGTTTTAAATTGTATTGCATTAAAAATACAAAATGAATAAAAATAAATCACCCTACCCAATTATAATATACCCACTCACTCCTCTTCATCATTCTCCTCGTTCTCCTCGTAGTAAGTTAATTCACTAATGCCAGCCTACCTGGCGCACTCTTGTCCATCTTTGAAGTTCACCGAAATAGTACATTACGAAACAAGTGCCGGAAGCAAGCGGTTTCGCACGAGGCCGGCGAAGCCGCCCGAGTAGGTAACTGCTTGCTCCCCGCACTTGTTTCGTATACTATTTTATACTATGAGTGCGTATGCATATCCAGGGTAGCCCCCCATTCAAAAAGTAAACATCAAAATGAAAATGAAAAATAAAAAACAATTTAGACGATTCATTTAGTAAGAAAAATTTGCAAAACCAATAAAAAAATCAAATTCGAAGGCATATATTGGATGACTAGTTGAAAATTTATTTTCAAACAATATTTTCTATATGAACTATACTTGAAACTTTAGTAATAAACAGTAAGAAAAAGATTTCAAAGTTGAGGAAAAAGAAAGAACAGTATTTTTATTTGTTTATATTAATAGTTATATTCGTGCAATTATTGAAATTGAGTGTGACGTTCGCATTGGCAGCCAATTTCTCCAAGACTTCAGATACGTTTATATTTTCTTTTTTTTCAATTGTTTTTTTCAATGTTGATGATTTTGGTAAATGCGCAGCATGCATTGCCGAATTATTTTGAGTTTGTAAATTATCGACGTTTGCCAATGGTGCTTTTGATTCAGTGGAAACTACAGTGTCTTTATGGAGAGGCAATGGAGTTTGTTGTGGGAAATTGTCGCAGCTGGAGTTGCCACCAGATATGGAAGGCTCAGCATGTTCCGTACCCATGATAGCGTTTGTTATCGTAGCACTTGTGTTTTTTTTTGTTGAATAATGATTTACCCACGTATGATTGAGCAACTTTGTCGGAGTTCCAGCCCCCAAGCTCTTTTAAACCTAACACAGTGCCTCCTGCATTTGCGAATACTGTAGCAGAGGTTCTCCGAAGAGCATGGCCTGTATAGGCGTTTACATCTGGGAGTTGGAGGAATTCGGCAATTTTCTTGGGGAAGCTACCGAGAGTATTAATTCCTATGGGTTGATTAATACATTTACCATCTCGATAAGTCAAAAAAATTTCGTTCAATTTACAATCCGAAGGTCTGCTATCAATATACTTTTTGACGACATGATACAATGGTTGCACTACGGAGAAAGATCGGTCTTTGGAATTTTTCACTTCTGATTTTGGCCAAGAAATGTGATAGTAGTTCCCAAAATCTTGCAACCTACTCATGGTCATTTCATGCAGCTCATGACGTCGACACGCCCCGTTGAGACCAAAAATTAGTGCTACCTGTAATTGACAGATGAGAAAAACAACATTTGCAC